GGTGCTGTGACAAAACGGCTGCACAGGGGCTGACGTGGCTTTGGCCTTCCTTTTGCTGCAGGGGCAAACGAAGTCCTGCTTGTGATCGGCGGCTTTGGCAGCCAGCAGTCACCCATCGACGTCGTGGAGAAGTACGACCCGAAGACCCAGGAGTGGAGTTTCTTGCCCGTAAGGCATCTTTTCTGACCATCGTTGTGTGGAACAGGCGGGCTGACATCAAACGTGGGCCGCGTGCCGTCGGCCACATAACCTGCTGTGGGCTGTCCTCAGCTCCTTTGGGTCGTGGGGGAGTATGCAGAAAATGCTGGAATTGCTTTGCGTGTAAAGATTTACTGAGAAAGCTTTGTGGAAGAGGTTGCTGCCATGTCTGCTGGGCTGAGCCTGCAGAGAACGCATCTCTGCTGTGGGAGCGAGAGCTGAAGAGACGCGTTTTGTCACTGAGGGGTGATGAGCTGCAAAGTCTGGAGGTGATGTGTGGGATGTCAGTAGGAGCACTGGGGTCAGCGCTGCTTCGTGTGGGCCGTGTGATCCCTGCTCACACTGGGTCTGAGCGCGATGGGATTTATTAAGAGCTTCTGCACTGCGGTCTTAAAAGCAGCTGTATCAGTATGGAGTAGTGCAGAGCCTCTTTGTTATCACTAGTTTTGTCTCCCAAAATTCAGTTCTTTTTTGGGGAGGCCAAAAGCTTCTGCTGCATCTATCAGATCTGTGTAGCCTCCACGTTTCCCCATTGACAGGGAGCGGTGGGAGGCGGGCACACCTCCAGGATGTGCGGGGATTCGGCAGTGACAGGAGATAAGCTGACATTTAAGGCAGAATACTTCAGTGCAGGGAGACCTGGGCACAGGAGCAGAAGCTGCAGAAAGCAGACGCAGTGCTGCTGCACTTCAGCCAGAGCCGGATCCCTAAAATCCACGGCGTCGCGTGCCTCTGCCTCGGTGTGCTGCTTTGCAAAAAGGCAGCAAAGATGGGACAGGAGCACGGCGGTTGTTCTGCATGCACAGAGGTCATTTCTCTCCACCCTTTGCTTTTCTGCACCGTTTCAGAGCATCACCCGTAAGAGGCGCTACGTGGCGACCGTGTCCCTGCACGACCGGATCTACGTCATCGGGGGCTACGATGGCCGCTCGCGCCTCAGCTCCGTGGAGTGCCTGGATTACACGTCGGATGAGGATGGGATCTGGTACTCCGTGGCTCCCATGAATGTGCGGCGCGGGCTGGCGGGAGCCACAACCCTGGGAGGTGCGTCCTGGGCAGCACGGGGCGGAAATCTGGGGTCCTGCAGGTCTGGCAGCTCTTTGCTGGGATACAGCGATGGATGCCGTGCCGCGTCTCCGTTCTTCGTGCCGCTGTGCTCGGAGCGACGGGAGCTCAAGGAGGGGGAGCTCTCATGGCGGATAAACAGCTGGAAGGGCCGGCTGGGTTCTGGGTTTGGTTGGCCGGCTCTGCAGGCGGGCTGATGCCGTGAGGGTGAGCAGTCTGCATTTCTCTCAGCTTCAAACATGCCAAGCTCTGCTGTGGTTGCTGCATTTCGCAGTCCATGCTGTAGATTTGCTCCGTCTGAGGGCTTCGTGCTCCACGTGCACGTTTGGTGCTCGATCTGCTGAGCCCAGCCCTGCTCTGTCGTTGCAGATATGATTTATGTTTCTGGTGGGTTCGATGGGAGCCGGCGCCACACCAGCATGGAACGCTATGACCCCAACATCGACCAGTGGAGCATGCTGGGAGACATGCAGACAGCACGGGAAGGAGCGGGGCTTGTTGTGGCCAATGGAGTTATCTACTGCCTCGGTAGGTGCCTGCAGGCAGCAGATCCTGAGCCAGCGCCGGTCCTGGAAGCCGTGCTGCGCTGCGGTGGGGTGGCAGCCGCACACTGCGAGGCAGCACTGCATGGTGCAGTGGTTGTGCTGGCTGGGAGTGCTGCACAGATCCTCTTTGCTCTGCACCGGTGTGTTGTGAGTTGTGCTGAGGCTGAACCAGGCACATTACTGCTCTCTGCGCAGAAAACTTGTCCAGAAATCAGGCCCAACGGTTTGCTCCTCTCTTGTGTTTCAGGTGGCTACGATGGGCTGAACATCCTGAATTCTGTGGAGAGGTACGATCCCCACACGGGACACTGGACTAACGTCACACCGATGGCCACGAAGCGCTCAGGTAGGAGCTCACGTGCTGGCTTAGATCCCCGGGAGGAGGAGCCATAAAGGAGTGTGAGTGTGGCTTTATAGGCTGCAGGGAGAGGGTAAGTCTGCTGTGACTGCCCTAATTAGGAACTGGCAAGGACCAGCAACAGCTATTGTGTGTGAAGTAATGGGACAGTGTGCGAAGGCAGCGCTCGTTAGCTGCAGGGGTGCTGGGGGAAGCACTGGGCCTCATCCCCTGGGCAGCCAGGACAGCAGAGAGCAGCATTGCTAAGACAGCATTACACGGCCAGCTGGAGCTTGCAGCTTCTCTTTCCTGCTTGGCGTCCTATCTGAACTTCAAGCCTGGCATCAGGATCTAGGAGAAAAGTATAGTCCGAGTCCTCCTTCTGCAGAAAGTTATGTCTCAGAACTTGTTTCTTGCAGCTCCTTTTTACCCATGCTCTGCTGCCGTGCCCTCTGCTACTTGCGGTGCATGGGGCTGCCCTGCACCCTGTGGCAGCACAGTTCTGCTGTCACCACACCCCCAGTTTGGGCCAACAGCATTACTGCTCTTAGTGAGGCAGCTGAGCTCAGCAGATCTTACAGGCAGCTGAGCACCTGGTGCTGCTCCTGCTGCTCTGGCTGCAGCTGGTGGCTCCCCGACTGAAAATTGAGCAGAAGTTGGCAGAGTTACGGGTTGCAGCGCTGGGCACAGCACTGCCAGCACCCCTCTGTCCTCTCTCCGCAGGCGCTGGAGTGGCTCTGCTGAACGACCACATTTATGTTGTTGGTGGGTTCGATGGGACGGCGCATCTCTCCTCTGTGGAAGCCTACAACATCCGCACCGATTCCTGGACCACTGTAACCAGCATGACCACCCCCCGCTGCTACGTGGGGGCCACCGTGCTGCGGGGAAGGCTGTATGCAATAGCAGGGTAAGAGGCGGCCGTGGGCCGGAGGGAAGGTGCTCTGTGTGTCGGGAGGAGGTGTGAGTGACTCGAAGTGACACAGTAACTTTCTGTCCTTGCAGCTACGATGGCAATTCACTGCTGAGCAGCATTGAGTGCTACGATCCCATCATCGACAGCTGGGAAGTGGTGACTTCCCTGGGGATGCAGCGCTGTGACGCCGGGGTCTGCGTCCTTCGGGAGAAGTGATCTGGAGAGAGCTTACAAAGCACTTCCCCAGTACTGCCTGCTGCAAGAAGAGTCCCCAGTGATTTGCAGTGACTGTTTTTGAGAGTTGCGGATGCTGTGGAAGTAGGCACCAGAACGGCAGCTTTCTGTGCTGCTTTGACGAGAGCATGTGCATAATCGTGTGATCTCAGCAGTCATTTGAAATGGGGGCTCTGTGTGAAGCTGGAGAAGGTGGTGAAGTGGGTCGAGAGAAGCTGCATTTTCTGCTGTTCCTGTGGCTCATTTTCCCAGCAGAGCAGAGCAGCCCCCAGCTGGCATCAGCCGGCCTGGTGAGCACATGTGAGGACATGCACACAGCTGGGTGGTTTCTGCGGCCGCTGCAGGACCGGCTGGGTGCTCCGGTTGCTCTCAGTCCCGTGGATGCGTGCGGGTGGAATCCAGCTGCTCTTCGTTCCCGCTTCCAATCATCCTGTACATACTGAATGTTCTCAACTCGTTCCTCAAGCACACGTCAGTGCAGAGCCAAACTGGACAAGCACGTGTGTGTGAGGGGTCCTGCGCTGCAGGTTCTGCACGCAAGGAGTCGCGGACTGAAGCTGTCAACTACTGAGACCCAAAAGCCTGAGGCTGCAGGGGCAGAGGGCAGGGAAACCCACTGCCTGGCATAAAGGCAAAGGCAGCGCTGTGGCATTTGTGCTGTAATGGCAGGGTTCATCGCATCGTACTTCCCTTGAAAAGCTTGACAGTCCCAGCTGCAAAGAGCTGCAGTTTCTGGCCACAGGAGCCCTGCTGCCAAAGGCAGTGCCTTTGCTCCCACCCCTGCGGGGAGGCTGACGTGCAGCCCGAGGCCGGGGCACGGCGATGCGGTTGCTCAGTCCCTGCTGATGAACTGGTTCTTCCCTGGACCGCTGTCTGCCCGCTGCGCCCCCGTCAGGCTGTAACTCAATTCATGGTGTTGGTTTTCCTGTTATTTAGGATTTCCCTACTACCGGCCCTGTTTTGGAGTCACATCCAGGGTTCTGTTTTGCCCCCACGTTCTCAGCTTTGCCCTCCCTGCCCCCCAGCTGTCCCCGCAGGCTGAGCCCCAGCACGGCGTCCCATTGCCGGTTCCGGGAGCGCTCCCAGCACGGCTCCCAGCACCGCCCCGCGTTCCTGCTGCCCGCAGGCTCTCCTCTGCCTGAGCTCGTAGCGCTGCTCCTCGAGCTTACTGCTGGTTCCGGCTTGGGCACAGGGTGGGAGCAGGGACGTGGTAGCATGACTTAAGTATGCACTTTCAGCCAACGCTCTGACCTTCTGCGTTTGTTTCTATTACACAAGTGTTCCGTGGTTTTGTTTCCTATGTTTATTTTTTATTGAAAACATAAAGAATAAAATATTTCCTGAGCCAGAAGGAATTCACCTCTGTTCCGTGCCCTGCGGACGTTCATCGACTCCCTGCGTCGCGGACGCCCGCTCAGCCCACGCGGCCGCCTCCAGCGCTGCCTTCATCCCGCAGCTCACGGGCCGAGCGGTGCAGAGCAAACGCTCCGTCCTCGGGAAGCGCAGTGCACGAACCCAGCGGGGCTCGGCGGCTCCTCCAGCTTTTCCCACCCCCTCCATGGCCGGGCTGCAGGCGCGGCGCGGCGACGGGCCGAGCGCGAGGCCCCGCCCCCAGCCACGAGCGCCCGCCTCAGCGCTGCGCACGCGCCGTCGTCACCGCTCAGCTCCGCCCTCCGGGCGGCGGCCCGGCTGCGCCTGCGCGGCCATGGCGGCGGCCTGTGCGGAGATGGAGCCGGCGGCGGCGCCTCCTTCTTCTCCTCCCGCAGCCGCGCCGGGATCGGCCGGGCTGGTGTGCGCGCAGGGCCGGAACCTGAAGGCGGTGCTGTGCCAGCGCTGCGGATCCCGGGTGCTGCTGCCCGGAGCCGCCACCTTCACCTGCCGCGAGGTACCGGGGAGCGGCCGGGGGAGGCGGGAGGGGCGGGGAGGAGGGCGCCCCCTGGCGGCGGGGCGGTGACGCGGTGCTCTCCGCAGCTGCTGCTGCCCGCCATGAGGAAGAAGGCGGCGGCGACGGCGGACGACAGCGACGGGGACGTGGTGCGGGAGCACTGGCTGGTGCGCGACATGTTCTCCTTCGAGAACGTGGGCTTCACCCGCGACGTGGGCAACGTCAAGTTCCTGGTGTGCGCCGACTGCGAGGCCGGGCCCATCGGCTGGCACTGCGTGGACGACAAGGACAGCTTCTACGTGGCGCTGGAGCGCGTGGCCCACGAGTGACAGCGGCGCGGGGCTGGGACGGCTGGCAGCGCAAGATGCAACCCTGCTGGGCGGCACAAGGACCGGTGTGATGCCCCGGAGTGGCACCGTGCCCCTTGGCCACCGCCGGACTGCAGGACACACGGCACAGCAGGACACACGGCACAGCAGGACACACGG